TGGACATTTAGATGTTCTGGGATATGTGGCTTTATGGGTTTTGGTCGTACTATTGGTGATGGAGGGGCAGATTTCGATGCTGATGACGTAGCATTGTCTCCAATTGTTAATGTTAAAGGTCGAAAATTACCGTCAGGTGTTTCTAGTATTACAGTCGCTCTTTCGTGATTTATTTCAGGTGGTGGTGGTGGAGCTATGTTCCGAGGCACAAAAGGTCTTACTTCAAACAAGGTATTTGTAGGGCAGTCGCTTACATTATTATCATAATACGAGGTTATTTCATTAGAGTCATCGCTGCCACTTCGTTCATCCATTTTACAAGTATTTTCTTTAAATAAATATTTGCAGAGTAGTCAGTAAAACTTATAGATTAGGTTACAAAGAATAAATTATATTAGAGATATATATATATTTGCAAAGCAATAAAATATTCCTTTTATGTCAAGAAAGCTATCAAAGGAAAATTTTCTGAAATTATTTATTCCAAATTCAAATTGTTATAACTCTTTTTTCTTTTTTCTCTTACATATGAAGTAAAGTTTCGTTCTATTACAATCTAAATATCTTTATTTTGTATTTTTGGTTTATTCTTGTAAATTTTTTGAATGCAGATATTTAAACACTTATTGCATATATATTTTGGTAATATTTTCTTTATAAATATGTTTATTATATCACTTTATATCATTTCTATATCTTTGTGTGTAACTTGTAGTAAATCTAACATTTTTTTTGATCTGTTGTTTTACAAAATATTTGTGTTAATAAACGATTAATTTATATAGTACGTAAACACATTTTTGATTTCATTAAATTATTTTAATTATAAACAGAAACACACACATAATTTAAAGCTAACTATAGCTAGTTATTGTAACACATGAATAGTATGTATGAATACGATGATACGAAAATAATATTAATATTTATTCTATATTTTAGGTAAAAAAAATAGAGTGATAAGTTGGAGACTAAAAATATTTCTCAATTTAAAATTTAAAAAAAAAACTATACAAAAATAACATTGAACATTTATTTCGATTTCGTTGATTTATTTCTATTTTTATTGACATTTTTGAATTATATTATTCGAAATGGAAATAACGAAAATCGAATTTTAAGGAAAATTTACAATAATTTCTATTTAATATTGAGAAAAAGTGCAAGGCTAGAAAAATGTCTTCCATTTATTAAATTGATTTGATATTTGATGAAGAAAGTCGAAATAGTTTATGAGTATATATGTTTGTTGGCAAAGTGTATTATTATTATGAGGAAATGCCTAGGGATGTAACAAAAAGTAGGCATAATTAAAAAGCATAATGTTATCTTAAAAAGGTACTTTTCATTAAATAATTAGTATATATGCTTATGGAGTGATTGACTGAAACGTGAAATTAAATTGAAAAGTCAGTGTATTATCAAAACCCCTTTAATTTATTTATAAAATATATCCAGATATAATGAAAATATATAATTAAAACGTATTTTTATAATCATAATTAAAAAAAATATTATTATCTGTATACCTTTTTTAGATATTTTAATTTAAGATCCGGTCCAGCGATGTACGTCATCGCTTCCATATAACTTTGAGGATCATCGTCCTTCAAATATTCAATAGACCTAATAAACCAATCCTGAGTATACATAATATCACGATAAGGCCACTTAACAAGAAGACGAGCGAGCTGCTTAAAGACCTTACGGGCTGCAGAATACACAAGCCGATAAGAATGCTGAAAATCGTGCAGAATTGCTGGAGCTAGAGCTGGAATCACCTTAGTGTCTGATTCAAGGAACTGCCGGGTATATCATCATGAAGGAAGAATAGCTGTCTATCCCTCTTGGGGAATTTGCCGTGTCCAGAAGAATGTATCATTGTGTCTCTATATTATTATTAATTAAAAAAAAAACTTGATTATTCAAAAAATTTTACTTATCACTTATTATGATTGTTTTATTTTTTTATGTCGTGTAATGTTATTCACAATCCGTTCATCAATGTGAACATTGAGTAAATTTAAGATTGCGGTTGACATTAGGTAGGTAATCTTTCTCAGCGGATAGTTACCGTTATGATGATTTTTTTTAAATTTTTAGTTTGTATGTTGGCTGTCGTCTTGTAGTTTAACTTCAGTAGTATATTGATGCTCTGTGATTGCACTATTTCCTTTAACTGTGAATCTGCTGCTATCCTTAACACTGTCATTGTCCATCGACTTGGCTGAAGGTCTATATGCTGAACCTCATTCATTTTCACATCTATGATGAACAATGTCCCTATTGCTGCAAGCACCGAGAGTGCTCGCAAAGGGCCTGGCTTGACCAGGAATTGAACCTGCGCCCAATAGCTCGTGGCGACTTAACTATTCGGCTATTAGCCATCCTATTATGATTATATCGGTATGATGTATATGTAATTTGTAAGATTTATTAATATTAAATATTATTCGCCACAATTGTGATCCTATTATTAACTATTATGGCATAACTGAAAAAAATGCAATTATTGTCTGTTGATCTTGTTATTCTATGAATTTTAATTAATTTTCACCTTAAAAATATCTTGCAAACTGTTTTTGCAAGTTTTCTAATTAAAAATAATTTATATAAAATATATAATATTATAAAAAAAACGTTTGCCTTACTTATAACCCTTTTTCACATATAATTATGTATGTAGAAAATAATAATAATAATAATTTATTGGCCAGATTATCGAAAGAAACATAAATCAACGGCAAAAAGTTTTCGTTCGTTAGACGTTTGGCCCAAGTTTTGGCTACAGTTCCTTGAATTATGTAATTTTATGTTTGTTTGAAATAAAGGTTATTATTATAATTATGGTGAATCAAATCAAAATAAAATTGGGAGATTTAAATGGCTTGATAAATGAAACAAGAATAAAAATTAACCAGTCATTTTTATTATAACATCGACAAAGTACCATATAAGACGATTAACACAATAAAGACAAATTGGTAAAATCAATAAATACGTTAATAATCATCAACATAAATATTGTAGTTATTTTTCAAAATTTAAATGATGACATAGAGTGATTTTTTTTTTATGATTGAATATTTTTTAACAATTTTCATAATTTCAATAACCTCATTGATTTCATTCTTTAAATAACATTTTTTTTCAAGTTTTAAATGAAAATTTTACTATTTTTTTCCATAATTTTCTTTTCATTCACCTGATTCCTCTTCTTTTACAGTTATTCAATCGCAATCAATTTCTTTCAGGTTTGATAACAAAAAATAGCTTCTATGTTGTTATTCCTCCAGGTCAAACGCAGGTTTATCGAAATTTAGACGCCGCCGACGTTTAGGAACATATCTTTTAGGAGTATTATAAATATTTTGACTACTCTCGGTATCCTTTGATTCTATGTGCTTTGTAGGAGTCCATAGTCCGTTTCCTTCGTACTTCGATGTACTGGTTGATATGGAATCTAGCTTAAACGTGCCAAATGATCTTTGGCTATTAGGAATATTGTACACATTTGGGTCACTCTCGTTATACTTTAATTCTATATAATAAGCTGAAGACGAAGGACTCCTTAACTCGTTTCCATTTTTCTCCGGTGTACTGGTAATCATTGAATTTGGCGTAAACGGGACAATTTGTCTCGAATTACCGAAATAGCTAATGCTTTCTTTGTCAGGCGTTGGAGGGGTTATTGGTTCTATACATGGAGGTTTCAGGAAATTCCTTCCACAAAATCTAGACTTTTTCTTCATTGTTCCTGTATTAACAATAGCCTCTTCTTCTGGTTTCAATAACGGACGAAACTTATCAAAATATGGATAATAAATACCTTCATTGTTTCTTAATACATCCATGTTTCTATCAATTAAGTTTTTAAGTATAAAATCTCTTTACTTAAAATCAATACAACTTAATTTTAATCTTTCTTTTATTACCATATAGCAACTGGTAATATAAGTTGAAAAATAACAATTATTTTTACAATAAAAAATACGCGTACAAAAGTTTTACATTCAATTTCATTTAATGTTTTCCTATTATATATATTTTTTTATAAATATTCGTTCAAAATAAACATTTGATTTTTACTCTCTAGCATATATTTTAATTACAAATAAAATATAAATATTGTTTATGACATAAAAAGAATATTGTCTTGATTTTTATAATAATTAAAATAACTACAAAATGTATACAAAATTTTATCAATTTAATAGCATATCTCATTTAATTTATAACATGTGTAAGTACATTAATGCTAAAGTATGCTATTTTTTCAGTTTCTTTTATAATAATTACATCTGTTATTATTACTTACACGTTATTGCAATAGCGGATAAACATTTTGTTGAATGTTTTAAAACTTTTGATATAAATATAGCTCACGCGATTTTGTAATAAATGATATTAAAATATGCTTCGAAAAATGTAAATCGGAATATTTAAATAAATTTATTTTAAATTTTTTTTTTGATAACAAACTATTTAAAAAAATGTGCTATAGTTGAGAATTTTTATAGAAATGAAATATTTACAGATTTAGCGAATATTAAAATGTGCTGTATTAAAATATATAAATAATATGTTTAAAACAGTAAATTTATCTTTGAGCATTATAAGTTTTTTTTATTTAGAATGTGCTACAACTTAAATTAGCTAAAAAAATATTTCAAAATCTATTGAATATGAATGATAGGAAAAATTTTGTAAATGAAAAATATGTTTTAAATATATTATTGTTAATACTATCTATTATTAAAACATATTTTAAACAAATTTAAACATATTTACATAAATAATAAAGTATAATATTTTGTTATTTATAAATATTGATAATAGTATATTCCACCCGGAATTTCATTTTTAATTTAAAAAAATGAAGTAATTTATTCAGATATTGTTTTCTCACCTTTTAATGAATTTACGTTATTTTTATATTTTTAATAATTTTCGAGTTTTAAAATATGTATTATAAAAATAAATGTAGTGTATATTTTCACTAGATTCAGCTTCAAATCAGAAATTTGTCATTTAAAAAACATACTATGAATGAGTACCAAATAATAATCTATTTGTGCGGATTTTGCCTACTTAATTTTCCAATATTTCATGAATTTGTAGAATAGAGAATTACTCAATAATTTATTATATGTTTCTTGAATAAAATCTTTGTTTGAACTTATTCTAAGAAAGTTGACGTGATGTGTGACTATGCTTTCCATTTGGTGTCTATATATTTTATTTTATTTTAATAGATTTAACTTACTGTAATAAAAGTAGAAATATTTCCGATTTTTGTCTTATAATATCACTGAATATTATTTTGTAATAAAAAGTTTCCATGAAAAACGATTTTCGTCCTTAAGATCAAACTTATTATATTTCATGTATAAGTAATTCTACAATGAACCATGAATGGGAATTAATTAATTCAAACAATAAAAAATAATAATTAAAAGATGTTTCTTTTTTCTTTTGCATACCTTTAGTGACATTTAATGCATAGAAAACTTATAATAACATAGAATGAAAATACACGTTTATAAAACAAATTAAGTAAGTTGTGATTATATTTGCGATGTTTCATGCAATTAATTATGAAATCAGTAAAAAAATATATCAAATGTTCAGGCATGACAAAAATATACATTTGTTGAGATTGACTGAATTGTTTCCTAATTATTAATCTAATAAAATTAAAACTTTATTTGCTAAAATAATAAAATATCAGTTTATTTTTTAGTTTTATTAATTTGTTTTCAAAACTATTTTCAGAAATTCAACAAAGCTAATAACAACTAGGGTATTCAAAACCCGGTTTTCGAAATACGTGTAATTCAAAAACAAGATTTTTACAATTAAAAAAAGTTTTAGGACCAATACGTTTAGCAGCTGAATCTTTAGGATGAGAAGATGCGAATTTATTAACAAGTGAAGGCATATTTCAATTTCTATTACCTAAATTTAAAAAATGAAGACTGAAATAAGTTCTAAGATATTTCATGCGTTAGAGACACGCATTAAAGAGAGAAGACAAACGGAATTGATAACACTTTACCTATATTTGCAAAATCCACAAAACGAGTGGTCGAAGCCGATTTCCACTACTGGCTTCAAAAAGTGATGCTGAAAGATACTAAAAAAATAATTTTTAGTATATGAGAACGACAGAACAACAGAACGAAAAATGTAGAATGCTCTAAAGACTATTAAACTTCCTTGGTAGCAAGTGACAGAGTTTTATAAATTGGAAATTAATTATAAAAATCCTTTCTACATTCCTTCTACTTTTTTTTGTGAAAATTCGAAATTTGTATAAACCCTAATAACAACCAATTGTATAACTTTATAAAATAGAAATTTGGAAGAATTATAGTACAGCAATACATAATAGTACTTTCAAATTTGCTTAGAAAATAACAAAAAAAAATCTAAAAAAATTAGCACAGTATTTTTTTATTATCATTTTTATTTTATTATTATATAGTCAAGTCTCTATTTTTTCGGAATACATTATATTAATATTTAGAATCAAATGTATTGTATTAACATTCTATAATAATAAAATATTTTGTATAAAATGAGATGAGAACTAAATAATTAATCAGATATGATTTCGAAGAAATTTGAGAGCTTTTACTAAAATGTCACTTAGCAAGAATTTTGAGATGGAACTGCATTATGGAAGTTTTGCCATATACCGTGTGTTGCTTTAAGAGAATGCATAAATATTCATGCATGAAATCTGCGTCTTCAACTAGTAACAACCTGAAATCCGGTTAGGACTTGGAACACTAACTTACCTTTAATCAATGCCGTCGCAGCGGTAGCTGTATAGAAGGGGACTGTAAGAAGGGGGAATTCGCCAAGTAAAACAACGACAAATTCTCATACTTTCCTTTATTTTTCGCTTCCTGTTAAAATCTATGTATCTTTTCAATGTAATATTTATTCTCCTTTTTAGTTCTTATATATGCAACTATAGTACAATTTAACAATAAAAATAATATCTTAAAAAATGAGTAAACGGTCACCAAAAGAATGAAAAAATTGTATAATAATACCTTAAGAACGAAACAGAAGACAAAAAAATATATATGATTATCTAAAATTCACGTTCCGTTACAGAAACTTTTGTTGCTAGAGTTATTTACAATTCAATTAATGTCCTAGAGGGATGGAGAGGCGTTTTATTTTATAGGAAATGCAGGCTTTCAAAAAGAAAACCAATTATTTGAATCGTTATTAGCAAATGTCACGTTTCTACTATGAATTATTATTACGTGTTGATTTTTTTTCTCATTGTATGTCCTTTTATAAATGCTTGTAGGGGAAAATGACAGTTTCAAATCGGTCGCATTCATTCACCTAATTTGTTTTTTTCAGTTGTTTTTTGTATTGTTGTTGATGAAAATACTGCTATTTTTCTGTTTGTTTGTGTATTTACCTTTGTTTGTTAGTTACAATTATTAGTATGTTCTTTGTGTTAATTATCAAACAACGCGCTGCATACATTTGCAAAGTTAAATACTTGGAATGGAGTACTTCACGGGGCGAAATAATGTCTTTTTTTTTATCGGGAATTACAAATATGTACACTTAATCACTCGACATTTCGAGCGTTAAATCGCGGCACAATGGAAAGAAAATTCGGTTTCTACTGGATTTACGCTTATTTTTTTTTCATCTTTACATATTCCTGACTAGAATTACATTTAGATAAACCGCAAATTTGTTAGATTTCATTATAATGATTATTATTTTAATTCCAATTTATTATTATTTTTTTCTTAAATATCACAATTAGTGTTTTTTTTCTCTTTTCTCTCGCTTAGTATTAACAATATTATTATTAGTTTAACTCTTTTTTTCTCGCTCGTTTTAACACTGATATGATTAAATACACTGTCCAAAATTCGGTTGTTAGTTAAGGGTTGTTGCGTTCATGCTGGTAATGAAATGCGGATGACCACCAGCTTCTCTTCCGGCTTCGCCGCTTTGGATGGAGAAATGCCTGTAGGATAGGTACTCCGGTGGAATGGCCTGCTGGTCCCTCTTGATGGCTGCCCTCTGCTTCTTGATCTTCAGATATCCTAGGACGGTAACCAGAATTATGAAGACCAGGAATCCCATGCAGCATCCGATGATCAGGCCTAAACGCCTAGTCAATATCGATTGTATTCCACGACCGTGCTCAGGCATGCTTCCTAACTCTCCGTGTATGCTATCCGGGGCCCCCAATGTGCTCACCTAGATTGGAAATTAAACATTGAGCAGTATATTTCGTGACTTGGCTGGCTAAACTTTTAAATCATACAACGAGATGGAGAATGAAAAAAAAAATATTAAAATGGTAATGGAAGTGAGGAGGAGCAAAACGAATTCAAGGAGAGAACTGTTTTCAAATCGTAATAAATTTAAATCTTATATTTATGGATAAAAGGCTGCCACAGGCGTTTTTCACGTTTACTCTGCGCTTCGCTGCTAATATTCTTTTTACACATTAAAGCTTTTATTTATTCAGATTTAAATTTTTTTAATTGAAAACCAAACACGAAATGCTAATTACTGAGAGGTAAAATAATAAAAATAAAAATCTTATTAACTAAAATTGACCTCCGTATTAAATTCTGATTAGTAAGTTTATTTTTAATAATTCAAGTTTAATGAAATAATATACAAGGGACAAAATAATGATACTTTTAGGTAAGTTTTACATAAAACAAGCAATTATTATAGTCATATATAATTCCCAAACTTTTAATTTTAGTTTTTGAAAAAATGTTCAAATGTTTGTCGATATAAAAATTTAAATTACTGAAAAACGGAAAAAATAATATAATTTTTCGTATATGATTCATGTGAAAAAAAATAGAACCTCATTTTTCGCAGGTCGTAATTAAAACTATTTTTTAATTTATTTTGGGATTTGCATAAAAAGCAAACCTATTAAGTATTCATTAAGCAAACATCATATTATTTATTTAAACAATAAGCATTTCATATAATTATAACTGCATAGTAATTGTCCACATTTTAAAATAATTGATTTAGTATTCAAATATCAAATAAAAATTCATTTTATCTGTAAAAAATAATAATAAATTAGTTTTCCTAATTTTTGTATATTATAGTAAATTAATTAATTGCCATTTGCAAATTATTTATTTAATTTAAAAATAGATATTTTGTATTTCACATTGAAAATTTCAATAACTAAACCAATAACTGAATAAATAATAAAGGACACAATGACTTACTTCCAATAAATATATTAAATCAGTTCATAACAATAATATTTAGGAACAAAGAGAATTATAAAAAAAAACTATAACATGAAATATCACTGTATTATATTAACTTATAATTAAATTAGTACACATTGCATAATTTAGTTATGTATTGGAAGTCGTTCAATATACTACGTGATATTGCGTATTACCTGTCCAGAATATGTTACCTCACTCAATAAGTTTGTAAGATGACATATAGATGGCACCTCTATCGACAAATCCATATGATTTTTAGAAAGTGCCAACTTTCAGATGACGCCTGTCAAAATTTCATGGCAATCTGACGTTTAATTAACAAGTTACGGTAGTTTTAGTGACGCTACTTTTGTAATGTTCAATACAATAAAAAATCTGAATTTTGTGTGTTGATAAAACATGCTTTTTGATGAGAATGTATGTCGATTGCTGCAAATTTTCATACAAATTTTTTATTTATATAAAAGAAATTAAAAATTTAATACTGTGTTTAATATATTATCTTTAGAAAGGTATAGTTGAAAACAATAAAAAGAAAAAAAAACTTATAAGTTTTAACAAGACCTCAGCAGCGTAACTTGTGCATTATTTTCTTGTAGAAGTTGGAGTTTTGTTCCGTATAAAATGCTAATCAGCTTTATTTTTCAAGTATATAATTAAAAGAGATTATTACGTTCAAATAGAAAATTCATTTTGAACTTTGTTTTAACGGTAAGTTCGTTCCAATTAGCTGCACTATTGATTTTACAATTAAAATTTATGTGAAATAAAAAAATGCTTTATAAACATTGATGTATCCTATACTGGCAGTTGGAACACGCAACGTGGATAATTTATACGTTCCTATTATTTATTAATTGTACGTGACACATTTAATGTAGGAAAATTACATTTTCCCCATTTACGCATAAAGTTTTGTTTAATCGAATCATATTTTAACATACAAATGTAAATTAAGAAATCATTATTGTTATTTAATAATCTAAAATAATTGAGGAAAAAAACATCATTATCTCATTTGTTCAACACAAAACATAGAAAATATGTATAATTTGAGTACAACAATTTAACAAGTATTTACAATTTGACAACAACTGTTGATAATGTGAACATAGTTTTCTGATGTTTAGAAAAGCTTTTCTTATAAAATTTGACAATAACTAAGTTAAATTGCATAAATTGAATTAAGTTTTAACTCAAATATTTAAATTATTTATATTCAGTTCATGAGAGAAACTTTTTCAATAATCATGTTAACAATTTTTTTCATTAGTACTTTTAATAATTTGGACACAGTTTTCTGATGTTTGGAAAAACTTTTCTTATAGATATAAGATAATTTCCAATAAAAAAATGTATTAGTATTATAAATGTTTTTTCTCATGGATCTTTGAAGACATATTAAATTAATATTATTTAATAAAAACCAACCATTATTTTACTTTCTTTATAAAAGTCCGTAGTAAATACATTTATATTTATGAAAATAAGAAGAAAATAAGATAAAATATATAATTTCCCACAGAAGATTATATATAATATTGCAATTATACTTATAAACTCATTCAATAGTTTGCTTTTTATTATAAATTAATCATATGTATTTTTTTTGTATTTATTTTTATTATTACTTTTTTTAATTTCCAATTTCCAATTTGTAATTTCAATTCCATTTTACAAAATAATCTTGAAAAAAGAAATAAACACTAATTCGTTACTTTATATATTGAATTACCTCAACTTAAAACTAATACTGCATCTATTTACATTTTTTTTACAAACCTTTTTTAAGAATTATTCTTTAACTACTTGCTCTTTTGGTGAGAAATTTCCCATTCCAAGTAATCTGGATTGGCCTTTTAGATTATTTTCTAACAGACAATATCTTATGGCATTTTTGCAACCTAACCAACTTGTCCACATTTTAGCATAAAGATTGCAGTACATGCAGTTAACATTATTTTACTTGATTATTTTTGAAATAATAATTGCAAAATATTTATAACACATCTAATTTGAAAACATTTAAAATAAATACTAATTCGATATTTAATTTGATTCTCTATTTATAGACATTAAAAAATATATATTTTAAAAATATGCTTTATTTTTTATACAGATTGCTTTTTGTTAGTATTTCTAGCATGTCTAATTAAAACACACTTCATATTGACTGACAAACATTTGAAAACTTGTCCAGATTTGTTTAGAATAAAAATGAATATATATTTTTTTAATTGGGGTACTTTGCCCTGGAACCTGTAAACATAATTAACGTAAACCTTTATTATGTTAATTACTTGGAATGAAAGTTAAATTGTTTTTTTATAGTGAGTTATTTTTTAATTACCTGAATTAGTAATAATAATAAGATATTTTAAAATAATTTAATAAATAATAGAAAAATATAAATATAATTTATAAAAAAATATGTATTCTTTCTGCAATTGAATTCTCAGATTTTTTTTTATAATAATACTTTTATATTACTTTAACTTTATTATATTTAATTGAAATAATATAAATCTTTTTGATGTAAGTTAATGATGGGCGACTAATAGCCGAATGGTTAAGTCGATTTCGTGGCCGCCGGTTCGAATCCTGGTCAAGCCAGGCCCTTTGTGAGCCCCATCGATGGACAGTGTTAAAGATAGCAGCAGATTCACAGTGAAATGTAAAAATGAATTTAATACGATTTTAATTAATATATCTTCTATTAATATATGATGCATTATAAATAAAATAATAAAACTGTAATTTTGTGTAAATGAATAAGAAATAATTTCTATGAAATAAATTGTATTAGTTTTATTCAATTGAATTATTTCCCAACTATAGGAAGTTTCTGATTATATAATCTGAAAAGTAAAATCCTTTCTGCAAACTTGTTCATAATCGATTGAAATAGAAAAAGCAAGAATATGTAATTTTAATTAGAGCAAAGTAAATATCGCCTGCGACGTGTAAAATAATTAACGAACACTTTTAATAATGCAAATTTGTTTAAGAGTTGGACTGAATGTTAAATCGAGTTTTTAGTTTGTTCAATTTTTAATTAGCGGAATTTAGTTAGATTTAATTTATGATAAAAGTTTTGGGAAGTGCCGCACGGTACGGTTGTAGCAGCGAATGGTGTGAGGTGTTAGGGGGTTTTGTTCGGGCGGGTTTCGGATGGGCTTTACCTCAGAGCATTTGCTAGTCGGCGAGTCTACGAGTAGGGGTAGCATGGCGTCCGTGAAGGTTTCCCAATTATCGCCAGAATTGTTGGAGTCCAGGCGTCTGGCCAGCTTCGAATCGCTCTCGTGGCGTCGCGACGCCCAATTCCCGAGCGCCAGCACGCAGATCAGATACCGGGTCCCCGGATATAATCGTGGTAATTTCGTCGAGCGCATCGTACGGTCCAGCATCTTGCCACGTATCTGCGATTATAGGGGATTACATTACATTTATTTCCAGATTCCGGATTACTACTACTACTAGACTTAGAAGAGGAAAGAGGATGAAGCAGACGATGAAAACATATTTTCGAGTATTACCTCGATTAAATTGCATAAATTGAATTAAGTTTTAACTCAAATATTTAAATTCCTTATATTCAGTTCATGAGAGAAACGTTTTCAATAACCATGCTAACAATTTTTTTTTCTCATTGATACTGTTGATAATTTTGACACATTTTTCTGAGGTTTGAAAAAGCTTTTCTCATAGAATTTGACAAAAACTAAATCAAATTGCATAAATTGAATTAAAATATATAAAATTCTTATATTATACATTTATTTCCAGATTCCGGATTACTACTACTAGACTTAGAAGAGGAAAGAGGATGAAGCAGACGGAGAAAACATATTTTCGAGTATTACCTCTTCAATGCCATCGATGCTATGATAGACAACCTGATATCCGTGCAGTCCGGAATGGTTCCGGCTCTGCCAGGATACGAGCACAGAGAATGGCTGTATATCTTGTATGGCGAGACGTAGAACCAGAGGTTGATCGCAGAACTGTTCCGGTGCCAGCTCAAGAAATATTCGGCCTCGCAATTCCGGTGGATGTTCGCAACGGAGGGCGCGCGTGTTCGCCTGCTCGACGAGCTTTTGGTGGTCCCGAAGCCATTCCCATAACTCCTGCGACTCGCAGCTACACGATAAAGGATTCTCTGTAATAACAAAAAAATATATAAGGATGAGTAAAAAGAATTTGCCGAGGTATATAGATCAAAGAATGAAACGCAACAATCAAGTTCTAAAAGGGGATTAAGGAAACGCTCCAAAAACTAGTATATTTTTGTACAAATAAATAATGGTCTTAAATATATTTATTTAATGGAATACGTTAACCGGCTAAAAATACATAAAAGTAAATGTTTCATCGTAAAGAGAAAGATAATAAACTTTATTTAAATTACTTTAAGAAGTAAATTAGGAAGCTTAATACTAGTGTGTGTAGATGATTTCTTGTAAAAAAAAAATAGTCTGTTTTAGCATTGTATGAAATTGTAAGAGAAACTATTTTAAGTTGTGTTTTTACATATATTTGTATTGAATATAAAAATATTAATTTGTTTTATAAGACTTTAGATTTGTCTAATATTATGATATAATTACAATATTAATGTCAAGAGGAAGCACTGTATTTCATAATTTTAGATCAATAGTCTTCAAGACTGAATAAGTAGTTTGCACTGTCTCAGAATACACAATTACAACATGAATCATTTCAGTATTTAATTGAAATTTAATGTGTTATTATTGAGTAAAAATAATTCCAGTGTGTTGGTTGAGTCCATCTCGTAATTTGATGCATAAAACATATTTATTTTATTTTATTAAAAAGAAACAAATATCTTTAAATATATAATATTTAATTAAAAAAAAATGAAAATTAATTAAATTAAAACAACAATAGATGCGTATAAATAAAATATTATTAATTATATAGATGATATTGTTCAGTATTATATTTTATTGGTTTCAAATAAGCTCACTATTTCATCACAATTGATCAATAACAAGGGATTATAATTAAATTAATTAAGCTGAGAAGACGAGGGTCAGAAACAGATAATAATTTGAAACAATAATTGGGTATCAAATAGGAATAATTTATTGTAAATGTATGATAATTAATTTAATTACATTTAGTATTTTAATAAATTAAAAAAAAAACATATTTTTGTTATTTACTTATATAATTAGGTTAAATCAATCATATCATTTAATTTGCAATTATTTTTTGTATTTTGGCAAAAGTTTTGTACTCAAAAAAATTATTATTAATAAATTTTAGTTGGTGGAAAGTTTTCTTAATAAAATAATATTATTTACGTAAATTTAATAAAAATAAGAATCTCACCTTCTGTTCTCAAGCTTCGTATTTGTGTTTCGAGTGGTCTGAATGCATTGAGAGGAATGTTTTCCAAGTAATTGCGGCTCAAATCTAGCGTACGCAGTTTCTTCAGCGGTTTGAAGGAGTCACTCGAGACGGATGAAATCCAGTTGCCGTCCAAGTATAGCTCTCCCAGATTCTCCAGGTGCTGGAACATGACCTTGCTGATACGACCGATTTGATTGAATGATAGATCGAGAACTTGAAGTGACTTCAGGTCTTGCGGAAATTCCTCGAGTTCTTTCAGTCTGTTGTGCGTCAAATTGAGTATACGCAAGTGGTTGAGTCCCTGGAGTCGCTCGGGCGGCAGAAGTTCTAGCTCGTTAACCCCCAAATCCAAAGTGAGTAGATGCGGTAGACTACCAAACGCACCAGGGGAAATGCGCGAAATTCGGTTCTGGCCGAGATGCACGTGTAACAAGGCTGGGAATGTTTCGAAGTCTTTGCTGGTAACAATTGTGAGGTTCGTGGAGCTTATGTGCATTTCCTCCAGGGATGGGTATCTGTGTGCGGACGCAATGTCGTGTATTCGGACGAGGGGATTCCCCGTCAAATTGAGCCATCCGAGCCCGGGGAGGGTGTGCTCGGACAGTGCGGACGTCGGGATTTGTCTGAAGCGATTGCAGGATAGATCAATCCTCCTTAAAAGCGGTGAATGATGAAAGAAGTTGGCGGGAAGACCGGCTAATATGTTTCTACTTAGATCCACCGACAGCAGCTGCGTCAAATTGGCTGAGGCAAAGCCCGAAAGCGAAGAGATCGCATTATACTTCAGGTCGAGTTCCCTTAAATTCGGCAATCCATTCAGTCGTGACACCTCTAAACTGGCCATCCTATTGTGAGCCATTGAAAGGGTCTCCAGGGTCGAGATATTCAGGAGCGCCGTGTACGGCAGCTCCTTGAACATATTCTCGGCCAGCTTCAATTCCTTCAAAAGATTCAAGCTGAGGAACATGCCGTACTTTAACTCGTGTAATCTGTTGCGGCTCAAATCGATTCTCAATAAGTTCTTGTTCTTGGAAAATATCACATCAGGCAAACTGAGTATGTGACAGTCATCAAGAAAGAGCATTTGCAGAGAAGGCAGTCCGTTTAAGGCCTCATCGAAGATATCGCTGAAATTGTTGTGCGACACTTTTAGAGTTCGCAGGCCGGGTATATCGAGATTACTGAGATCTAGCGACACGAGCTCGTTTCTCTCCAGGTTTAAATCGTTGAGATTGTTTAATCCCTTGAAAGCTCCCGCCTCGATACTGGAAATTGAGCAGTTCATGAGATTTAACGAACGAATCGGAAGGCCTTCCTGGAACATAGCGTCGTGTATCGCTTTCAAACGATTATTAGATAAATCGAGGGTCCTTAATTTCTTTAAGTTGGTTAAAGCACGGGGCTCGATTGTCTCTAATCCATTATGAGCCAAATAAAGTTCCTCGAGCTCGTGCAGCTCGGCGAACGTTCGAGTACCGATGTGTTTTAACTTGTTCATGCTCAGATCCAAAAACTTCAGAGCCTGCATCGGCTCAAAAGCCCTGTCCTCGATATAAGAAATGCTGTTGTTGTTAAGATAAACGCGCTGTATTAAAAGAAGATCACTGAATAACGCTCTATCAAGACTTTTCAACCTGTTGTGCCCGAGCCACATGATCTGTACACTGGATTGGCCTCGAAGGGAGTCGTTGTGCAGAGATAGTATACTATTCGAGTCGAGTTGTATCGAGACAAGCGAAGGCGACTCGTGCATGAAGACGTCGCCGAGCTCGGATATTATATTTCCCTGGAGGTTCACGTGTTGCAAGCTTTGAAGGGTGCGAAAAGCGGCCGTGTCTATGGCTGAGATCCAGTTGTTTTGTAAGTGGAGCTCCAACAATGCGGGGAGCGGATCGAAAACGCCGCGAAGTACATTTTGCAAACGGTTATTATGCAGACGAATCTCCCTTAAACTTATTGTTTTATCGAATGTGCCTGGCTCCAAATCCGTGATCCAATTGCTGTCGAGACTGAGCGATGTTAAGTTACGGTTCTCCTGGAACAACTGCCGCGGTATGTGCGGAACGAAGTTCGAGCTTAAGTGCAATTGAGCAAGGTTACTTAACGTATGCAATGCTTCTGGATCGATTCTTCTTATGGCGTTTTGCTGCAAGTAAATCACGGAGATGTTAAATGAGTCGGTGAAGGCATCGGAGGGAATCTCTAGTATGTTGTTTTCTGATAAGAAGAGTTCCTTTAGATCCGGCAGGTAAGCGAATACGCCGCTTATGTAGTGCACGTGATTGTGACTCAGATCAATTGATTTCAGCTTTTTGTTGACGTTGAATGTGGTCGCATCGAGGAATACAATTTTGTTGTGACTGAGATCGAGCGACTCGAGCTGTATTAGAGAGACGAACGCGTCCGGATGCACACTCTCAATGACGTTGTAATATAAAGAGAGGGTCCTTACGGACGGGGTTGGCCGGAAGCAATCTTCGTTCAATGCTTCGAAGTTGTTCGAACTCAAATCCAAGAATAACAATGAGTCCAACCGCGAATACCCATCGTCTGGGAGTGTGCTGATTTCATTCCAAGCGAGCCGCAGCAGCCGGAGCCGTTCGAGTCTCCGGAGTGCCGTCATCGGAAAATATATCAGCTTATTTTCCGCCATATCCAGTTCGGAGAGGGAATCCTCGAGGCCGGCGAATCCGTACTCGGATACCTTCTGCACGGCATTCCCTTTCATATTTAATTTGATCAAATGAAGACCGTAGAAACTGTAACTCGGCAGATCGCTAATTTCATTCGACTCCAGATCGAGGGCGATGAGTTTCACCAAACCGCCGAACGCCTTCTGCGGAATCTCCCGCAACTTTCCAGATACCAAACTTAGAGACTCAAGCTCTGGTTTCAGCGTCAACAAACTGTCATCGTGGAGTTCCTCTAAGCTCGACTGGGATATCTGCAAATGTTTAATAACCGTTCCATCCGGGAAAAAGTCTGCCGACAGCTTTAATATCGACTTGTCCAGATCGTAAACACTCAAGGATTGTATCGGGCCAGAAACGATTTGCAGCACGGAGTGAAGGGAGGAAGCGGTGGCGGCCGGACATTCCAGGAAGATGCCATCCTCGAAGTTGTAGCAAGGACAGGTGGGATTTGCCGCAAAGCTGGGACACTGTGTTTCTTGGGCCGGCAATATCTGTGTTTCGGCGAGTAAAACAAACGCCACCAACAAATAAGCGGCGACGTCACCCATCATGCCCCATCAGTTAATCCATCCATCATTTTATATAACACCTCCACTCTGCAACACAAAGCACATCAAAATATCAATTAATAAATAACGTTAAAAACGGGTTAACCTGAATAGAAGTAACGAAGAATATTAAAGGACAAACTTAATGTAATGGGATTTCAAAATAAATTTATTATCTAGGAAAGCGATGGGCGATCGATACGCCTTGGCGTACATCAATTAATTTAATATCAATTATAATTTGAGAATGGGGAGCGGCTTTCTGGTATCAGTGTGATTAAATTACATTTTAAATTCTATTATGCTCTGGCAACTTGCGTCCGATCCAATCATTATTTTAATGGGGTCAGAAATTTTTATACTATTCAAAGATAGCGAACTTTTCGAGCGAGAAGAAATATTCATGGTAATTTAGCGTATACGAATGCTTGTGCAAAGCATTTAACTGATATTTATGTGTACCAATATTTCATGTAAATGGATATAAATACTATACCATAAACTAAGACGTCGGCCCACCGAAGAATATATACAATTTCGTATGCCTGTTATGGATTTTATTTTAAATGAACATCGTATAGTTGACATTTGATAATTTAAACAGAGATTCTATTATGATATAAACATTTATAGTCAAGTTAGTGAGAAGTATTATTAAAAAAAAATATTTTCGCAACAAAAATTTAGGTTTTTTTATTTAAAAAACATTTAAAAGGCATATTTACGGATTTTGCATAAAAGAAAGATTGAAAATATTATTTTCTGAATAAATATCAATAAATAATGTTCATGGTCATTAAATTCTCATGATTTTTGTTTCTTTGAATTAAACTAGTAATGAATATATTTAAAATATGATACAAATTATATAGTTATAATAAATATAATTGAATTGATTATAATAAAGAAACGTATTTATGGAATAATAACAAAACAAAAAATAATTAACTGTTACAATTAATTATTTAGTTTAGGTATAAACAGATTTATTTCAATTAGTTTATAAAGTAAATGAAAAATATTTATTTTAGACGCTCATATGTTTCTAAGACATTATGTTTAGTTTCACTTTAAAAACGTTCAACTATCGGTTGTAATTTGATTGAACATTTAAAATTTATTGATTTATTGCATATTTTAAATTATCAAGTCAAGAACATTAATTAGATGATAATAGTTAATAGATTGAAAGATACCAGCAACATTTTAATGTCAGAGTATCTCATAGCGATAAAATTATTTTTCAGATTTTGGGGACTGAGCAGCATTATACCTCTAAAATATGCGGAGTATTCGCTGAAAAAGTTACAATTTAAAAAAATGTTGATTTTGGTCCTGATTTGACGGCACTAGAATTATTTTTGTTCACGAACAATTCAAGAAATCAAGAAGAACATTCAAGCCAAAATTCTACTTTTAAGGTCATAGGTCATTTTTCTATTTTTTCTTATTGGTGAGGGATGTTGTTTTTCTCACATAATACCAAAAAAATCCATTAGTTATATTTTCCTATAAAATAATAAAAAGAAATAAAATAAAACAAGGAACATTATTTCTGATAAACTAATCATATATATTATATAATAACAAAATGTGAAAGTAGAAAACCAAAAGTCGGGCTCAACCGGGATTTGAACCCGGGACCTCTCGCACCCAAAGCGAGAATCATACCCCTAGACCATTGAGCCATTATATTAAAAAACAATATTTTTTACCTCAAATACAATTTAGAAAGTTTGATAATTATGTAATCCTAATTTACATTTTATAATATGATTTATTCATAACCTACTCCATATTACCTAAGGATACTAACTAGTGTTTTTCTGTCTGTAATAATATGAATTATATTTGATACATTTTACATTTTTTTTTTTGCATAAAATTATAAATAATATTAGAACTTAATTTGTATTGTGAATATTATAATTGGTAGATATAAGAAGACAATAATTGCGTTTGGTTCTGGATTCAATTTATCATATATTTATAACATTATATTAGAAAGTTGAATTTTACGAACATAATTTCGGTTACCGCACATTATTTCTGTTTTCCAGCAACCAATCCGGCAGCCACGTATGTTTTATATATTTATTGTTATTGAATATCTTTATATACAATTGTATATGTTTTATATATTTATTGTTGTTGATTATCTTTAGACATGGGCATCGAGAAAGGATTAAAACATTTTATATTAATTCTAATGAGAAAATGGTATCGGTTTTCGAATATTTCGGTATTCGATCAATCATATACTAAATATTAACTACAATTTACCAAATATTCACAATATTATATAATACAGTTATAATTATCTAATTATACGTTTTTATTAATAACTATTATAACAGCTTAAATAAGTAATCTTGGCGTAAAAACGGATTAAAACATTTAAAAATAATTCGTTTCGGTATTCGAACAACATTTAAGAAAATTCAACAACTAAAGTTGTACACTACATTATATAAAACTAAATCCTAAATGAGAAAATGTAAAAGAGTCTAGTTACAACAAAAACTGAGAATTAAAGTTAGAACTTTCTTTTTCCCGTATTCCGAATGTTAACAATTGGATACAGAAAAAAAACACATTCGTGTTTGGCGCCAGCGAAATTCCGCCGCATTGTTGTGTTCACGTGCGTAAACGCTCCGAACAAAGCTGTTCAAGTTTTCGCTTCATGTTCATCGTATCGTATCCATTGCCCAACTTACTAACTTCTCCGAGTTCTTGCACATTCTGTAAACTTAGAGCGAATGGAGTCCCTCTTGTTCATTCCGTATACGTATACGTACTTATACGTACATGAGAAGGAAGTAAACGCGACATAAATTTAACAATGCCCAATATAAATTGTATTCCTTCAAATAAGTTTTCCGCATCTCGAAAAATGTATAAAGCATATGGGAATACTGAAATCGAAATAAATTCGAGAAAGGAAAAAAAGTTTTTCAAGCAGGACATTCAATACTTACATGTGAGTGAAATATATAGCGATACTCTTAACTTGACAAGTGCCTTTTACTTACTTGAAAAGTATACCACAGGTTATGCATAATTTATGAACACATTAGATTTACGCGTCAAATTTACTTGTTTTATACTAAAGTTGTATTTTTAAAGTAAAATTTTCTTTTTCTTTATTTGCTTTTATTATATACTTATCAAGACTTTTTAAATTCAGAATAATGATCTTCAAAACTACTTAGCTATTTCTTATACCTTCTGTCATTGTTGAAATTATTGATTTAACAAACATACTTGCATTAATTATAAAAATAAAATAGTTTCGAATATTATCATTTTTTCGAACCTGGCACAATTTATTGTGTTATACTGTAATGACCTACAAAGTTATAATCTCAGTATAAATTTAGTGATTTTCATTCTATTATTGATAAATTACGTAATTCAAGTCGTTTGGGAACGCACGCATAGTCCATAATAAACTTCTGTTAATTTATGGCCAAACGTGATCTGATAATTTTAACAAATGATAGATATAAAAGTTAGGTTCAAGATATTATATGTTCATGAGCAATACCAAAACAACTAGCCAAAGGGCTATCGACCACAGGTCTTTCCGCAAGGGAATATAAAAAAAAACAATAAAAAAATATACATATAGCAATGTAATGAGAAAAAAAGCAGCGGAGTAAATACAAGTGGGTATCAATCGAGGGACATTAGGTATTAGAATAGGGATAAGAATTTAGAGAGGGAGACGATGTTGGACTGTTTGGATTTAAATTTCAAGGAGAGGGAAAGGTATCGGTCGAAGAGAGGAGAGGAAGTATTTTGGTTTTGGAGTAAAGGAGATCATTAGGAGGATTGTGTAGAGGATTATTAGGATGTCGTATTTTGGTGAGGATACGAAGGGAGGAACGCTCGGATACGGACATTTTTTTAGGACAGGATTCCGGCATAGGGAAAGTAGTGGGAAACCGTATTCAAGGATAGGACGGCATATTGATTTGTATATTGATGTTTGGCACTTTATGGATATTTAGGAGTTACGGAAGGTTAAAGAACGGAAATGATGGGATCTGGATTTAATTTTGGATTTGAGTTGTTTGGAATTGAGATTGAGTTTAGGATCAAGAAGGATTCCAAGGTATTTAACGTGAAGCGAAAATGGAAAAATTATTTAACGTAACATGGGGAGACGAAGGGGATATGGTAGGGAATAAGGAGTTTGGTCTTGGATGGTTTAATTTTGAGGCACCATTTTTTAAACCATAAAATGGTTGAGGGTAGTAGGTTTTGAAGGTTAAGAATAGAGGATTGAAAGGAATAAAGCCTGGGAAATCAATGTAGTGTCATCAGCATATAGGTTGGGATCGAAGGTATTAGGATCGGGGCTATACATATCACAACAAAAAAGGTTATATAACAGAGGAGATAGAGGGGAGCCTTGCGGAACACCCTGAAGTGGGGAAAAGGAACTGAAGAACGATTATTAAGGAGGTTTTTGATGATGCTGATGAGGTAACGTGGGTGATTTAGAGGGAAAAGTTTATAAAGAAGACCCTGATGTCAGACAGAGTCGAACGCCTGGACACGTCAATGAACAAAGCGCTCGAGTGGCCGCCCTCGAGGTGAGAGGTCTGAAACTTGGAAGCGAGGATAGTAAGGGGAAGGATAGTGGACTTTCCAGCTCGGAAACCGAACTGATAGGCGGGAATATTTTTACTAATAAACGTTAAATTCACATTTTTCTTAATATTTTCTATATATTTCATCAATATCCCGCAAAAGAGACATGAGGAAAAAAAACGATCATTTATGCTTAAAAGATAATTTTGTGTACTATTTTTTTTAAAATTTATTTTTGTTTATTAAAATTTAATTTATTTAGAAATTTTCAAAACACACTATAGCCTAATCTGGACTACGCGAGGTATTCCTATATAATTATGGTAAAAAGTTAAAAACTGTTAGTGTAGTGAAACTTAAAATAATAATAAAAACTAAAGAAATAATAATAAAAGTTAGTCGTTATTATTCGATGTATACTGTACCACATAATTATTGTTAAACTA